ATTCTGATTAAGAAAACAAATCTTCAGCCTCCCGGCTTGGTGCCTCTAGTGGTTAAAAGGTCCAGGATAGGACAGGAAAAGGAGAAATGATGAAAGTGACAGTTGAACGTGTTGATAACTGGGTTCTGGGTCTGGAAACAAGCAGACGGTGGCAGCCCCAGGACGTTGGCACCCGAGGACTTGTAGGGGCAGTTGTGAAAGGGGGTCTCACCTTCAAGAAAGTGAAGGACAACTCATAGAATAGGAAAAATTACTTGCAAACCATGTGTCTGATAAGGGACTTGTTTCTAGCATGTATGAAGCACTCTTGCAGCTCAATAACAAAAAGGCAAATAACACAATTGAAAAATGAACAAAGGGTCTGAGTAGCAGTACCCTCACACATGGCTTGTGGGAACAGAAAGTGACATAAGCACTTTGGAAAACAGCCTGGGATTTCCTCCAAAGATGAAACAGAGAGTTGTCACAGGACCCAGCAATTCCAATCATGGGTGTATATCCAAAAGAAACGACAATATACGTCCACACAGAAATTTATACATGAATATTTACGGCAGTATTATTTCTAGTGGCCAAAACAAAAAGACCATCCAGATGTCTATCGACGGAGAAGTGAATGAACTAAACGTGTACATATCTAAACAACGGAATATCTTCATACATAACAAACAATGAAGTCTCCGTACACACTGCGGCCTGGAGGAATCTTGCGAGTTTTATTCTACGTGAAAGAATCCAGACACAACAAAGGCCGCATACTCTGTGATATCATTCACGTAAAATACCCAGAATAGAGAAATCTAGAAAACCCCAACTAGATTAGTGGCAGAAATGTATGCTGGGGGGCAACTGGCCAGGGAGCGGTGATAGTTAGAAAATACAGTTTCTTTTTGAGGTGTTTAAACCTTCCTGAAGTTTATTGTAGTGATGGTTTTGCAACATCTGTGAATATGTTAAAAAGCCATTCAATTTTACACCAAAATGAGTGAGTTGTCTGGTTTGTAAATTGTATCTCAATAAACCTGTTTTAAAAAATGGGGCTGAAGTTAAGCTCACCTGATGAATATTTGCTTTAAAACCGACTGAGGTGCACTGTTTGGAGTTTTCTGGGATGCTCTGGGCTTAACAGGTGAATGAACACAGTGTCACCAGAACACAGCCAACCTGTCCAGCAGCTTGTTGACAGGATGGATTTCATTCTAGATGTCTCCACAGGGCAGAAGCCTTTAAACATGATCTTTAGACTTAGGGAGACAGACAGAGAGAGAGAGATGACCTGTGGAAAGGGGAAGGGGTAGAGGGTGAGTGAACACGAGAGAACTATTCTAAATTAAAAGAGACAACAACCAAAGTAACATGAATCTTGGTTTAAATAAACCAAACGTGAAAGGACGTTTATGGGGCAGGTGAAGACACTTGACTATGGACTAGATATCAGGTGATACTGAGAAATTGTTGAATTTTTAGAATGAGGCAATGGTACGGTGATTAGTGAAGAAAATGTGTTTAGGGGGAAATGTAAACATCTTCGGAATTTATTTTATTTTTTAAATTTTATTTTTTATTTTTTAAAATTTACATCCAAATTAGTTAGCATATAGTGAAACAATGATTTCAGGAGTAGATTCCTTAATGCCCCTGACCCATTTAGCCCACCCCCCCTCCCACAACCTCTCCAGCAACACTGTTTGTTCTTCATATTCAAGAGTCTCTTCTGTTTTGTCCCCCTCCCTGTTTTTATATTATTTTTGTTTCCCTTCCCTTATGTCCATCTATTTCGTCTCTTAAAGTCCTCATATGAGTGAAGTCATATGATTTTTGTCTTTCTCAAATTTCACTTAGCATAATACCCTCCAGTTCCATCCATGTAGTTGCAAATGGCAAGATTTCATTCTTTTTGATTGCCGAGTAATACTCCATTGTGTGTGTGTGTGTGTGTGTGTGTGTGTGTGTGTGTGTGTGTGTATCACATCTCCTTTATCCATTCATCCATCCATGGACATTTGGGCTCTTCCCATACTCTGGCTACTGTTGATAGTGCTGCTATAAACATGGGGGTGCATGTGTCCCTTCGAAACAGCACACCTGTATCCCATGGATAAATGCCTAGCAGTGCAATTGCTGAGTCGTAGGGTAGCTCTATTTTTAGTTTTTTTGAGAAACCTCCATACCGTTTTCCAGAGTGGTTGCACCAGCTTGCATTCCCACCAACAATGCAAAGAGATCCTCTTTCTCCGAATCCTGCCAACAACTGTTCTTGTTAATGTTAGCCATTCTGACAGGTGTAAGGTGGTATCTCATAGTGGTTTCGACTTGTATTTCCCTGATGATGAGTGATGTTGAGCATTTTTCATGTG